TCCATATTAATAATCGCAAATGATGGTCAGATTGAGGGTAAAATACATCGTTTAAAATTAAAGTATGTGAACGGTGGGATTGTCAAACAAAATTAAATAATCAGTATAGAGTTGTGGAGATTGTTGTGTTTAAATTGATATCATGAATGGATCCAAGTTAGACCATGAATAAAAACCTAGAAGCACTGGACGGCTGTCTCGTACTAGTACGAGGCTCTTCACCAGTGCACATCCACGATCTCGTATGCGCGATTCGAACCTAGGACCTTCTGTCTCGTGCACGAACACATAATCTGTAGACCAGTGTTCCGATATCCAACGGTATTAATGTTGAACTTGAATCTACACACCATTGTCTTCAATGAGTAACTGGTACATAACAGACATGTTGATACGACTCATATGGAATGTTAACTTGAATCTGTGTATATGTTAAATGAAATTGTTACGTGATCCATGATCCGAATAAATATGGGTCAGATAAGGTGAGAGAGAAATAATAGTGCAATTATAATTCGATTAAATGTTTAATGGAAGGACATATTGTGTAAAAAATGATTAGCAAGACATAATAAGGTGGGATGAATGAGAAGTGAATGAATCATGTATGGGGGAGAATAACAATGATTGACGAAACGAAGATTTGTGAGTAAAGATAATAGAGACAATGACATTTGACTATGAAAGGTCGTGAGTATAATAGTCAAATTAGGTCATTCAATAGCTGAGATTACTATTGATTAATTGGCCTTGAGTTTGGCCAGTGGAGGAGGAGGAGTGATTGAAGATATTTGTTTTATACACAGAGTCAAGGTTTCTTCATCCATATGGTTCCTACCTATTTTATCCGTTTGAAGGACTTAAAGTTTGACAAGGTTTGGCAAAATGTTGGTGACTTGATAACTAATTGGAAAGGAATGGTTTATACTGGGAGTATGTTATGTCCGGATAAGGGTGAGTGGTATATTTCGGAATGCATTTGTGGACCGATACTATGGGTATAGTTTTGTCCTATAATTGTTAATTAACTAAACTACTCATATTCATGTCTCTCTTATCATAAGCTTTATTTTAACATATGAACCATTATTATACGATTTACCATTCTTGAATTAGGCTCTATCAATACCTCCCTCATTCACAGTCACATTTGGCTAATTGTTGTACAAATGCATGTTTGAAATAAACGACTCATATCGCAGGGGCTCGGATTGGTGTTCTGGACTTAACTGGCTGATCTAGGTAGGAAGCTGGAACAGTAAGGACTTTAGACTGCTCGTTCGTGTTTTATGCGTCATTAGTCCGGTCGATAAATTACTGTTCTCTAATTGACGGTATCGTTACGTTATAGATTATCAGCGCGCACAGGCACAAGTTATAATAGATTATAACTAGTTTGTACTAAATGGGTCATTATAGAGCTGTTCACTTTCTTCACTAAACCTTTTTTTAACCACTCTAGGAGGTATTCACGAACACGGGAATTAATCATTATCATTGTCCCTATAACTGAACAAAGAAGGAGTGTTTCATGAAAGTGACTATTATCCAGCTGATGCTGACTTGCCATATACTGATCACTTTGAAGAGTGATTTGGTATTCTTTTTGAGAAAACATCAAGGATACGAAACTTCAAATATGAATCCCATTCTCATGTAAAGGTGTATGGTTTATGGTAACGACAGCGATGAATACGAAACCTTAGAACTATCTACGTATTACATTCATTTATTTTAAAAACGAATACCTTTTGTTATTTCTTTGTCCGAATAAAGATGTTCAAATTCATATAAACATCAAAGTTCTGGCTAGGAGATTATATGTTTAGCGCATCGAATTTTACATTACCTACTCACCGTAATTTAGACAATTAACCCAATATGAAATCTATCTTTGTGTCTGATTGGAAGCATTCTGCACCTCAAGTGTTTTCCATCCTCCTTGTGGTTGAAAACACTGACAACCATTAATTTACCCACATATAGAAATTGCAATCTTTTACATATACTCACTCACTCACTACCCAGTGTATTTTGCCTCTTTCGTGTTTGTAAATTTTATTGATTATTAATAATTCATTCTCCCAACAACTGGTGTTCTGGCTTCTGAATAATCACAGTAATACTAGAAGAATTGACCTGACCAAATACTCAGTTAACGGGACATCATATATTGTAACCAAATAAACAGTGAATAACCTCTATCGAAAATAAAAACCGAATCATGACTAATCAAATCCACTCATCATTCAACCGATTTCCGACTGACCAACTCACTCAATATCACTTCGTCGTATGTACCTCGTATTATTTGAATATTTCAATTCATCATGTCATCACTGTGGACGAATTCCTTTCATTTGTCATTTCATCCATAACTCAACACATTCATAGAAATCATTGACAGCATAAAGAATCTGTATCGACTTCTATTAAAAGTAACATTCTAGTGATTACATGATTACAATGTGAATGATGTGAATGGAATATGGTTGCGTTTGTTTTGCAACTGTCTCTGTAGTGAATCAATGAAAATACAATAGTCTTACTAGAAGGTCGACCTGTATATATCTGTAGTTTACTAATTACTCTCTCACTCTCACTCTTTCTCTTTCTCTCTGTCGGTCTCTCTCTTGCTCATTATTCATTATCCCGATTGTTTACATCTAATTGAGTGCTAATGAATGCGGCTAATCAGTTAAGAACTATTTTTAGTGAATTTAATTATCCAAATTATCTAATTACGTGCTAATTCATTTTAATACCGTTCAGTGTTATTGATCATTTCACGTTGGTTAACTTGTATACTCATCATATACTGATCAACTAAAACAATGAGAAACACCAACACACACATACATATATATCAACACCGATGTTGTTGTGATAGTTTTGACCAGTGCGTTTGCTCTAATCAATATTGTTGAGTTCATGTCGCCATTGTTATCTTGTCTGGTGTATCGGCCTGTGTTAATGTCGACTCATCAAAATCTGTCTCAAAATAACTCTGTCAATCATGTCCATGTTATTAGACCATAATACAATCAACTATGTACTAATTCCTACACACACTTCACAATATCGCATACGTGAGAAAATACATAGAGAGAGTTACAGTAAAGAAACACACTGAATACAATTCGACTGAAATAATACAAGGAATAAAGTTTTCATTCTGAACGAAGCTCATATCAATCATCCTAGACGAGTTCCATCATGAATCAATAGAGAAAATGTCACCCACTTATCCTGTCATACCAAATATTATGAGATATAGACAGTGCATACAATTCCTGTAAGTATAATTTAGTGTGAATAACAAATCAGATGATCTGTTTAGAGTCAAGTGGGATTGTTAATGAACTGGTAAATTGATCTTGGTAAACCACCTGTAAACTAGTGTACCCTACATTGAATGAATTTCCTCAAATCACATTATAATCGTATTAGGAATAGTGAAGTGATGACATGATCTACAAGACACATTGGCATATGCATTTAATAATAGTGAGAAATAAACACGTTATCATGATTGTCGAGGCCATTGACAATGCTTCAACTGAACAACCTTAACCCATGAACGATGGATAAACAAATATATTACTGACAAATGGTAACAACAGACTGATGATCTACTGGTAGTCTATGTCGGATTATCGAATCATACTAATTATAAGCACACAAAACTCGTTTCATCTTATCTTGAAGGTGAATATCGAGAAAATCATTGACTACAGTCTCGAATTATGTCTTGTCTGTTATTCTTCATGAAATCTGGATAAAGTAATTTAGGTAAGCAGTACAGACTCTCCATCAAATGTACAATAATAATATACCTACTCAATAACAATTTGTCTAACTAATATCACAAAAACACTCTTACAATTGAAGAGACTATCAGTATTTAATAACGAAATTCAACGATCCAGATGAAATCAAGCAATAATAGACGATTAGTATCCTGATGAATTGAATCATACCTAAGTTGCAACTTCACAGTCGATATATCTCCACACATACATTGTATAGTGATCAGATCAGTCTTTAAATCAAGTCACCTATGTTAACATTTGGTAACTGTTTTCAGAAACCTATGTTGATACTGAAGATTTATTATATAGAATTTATATTGATTGAGATCATGAACCGACTGATATTAGGTCACTATTGAAAACCCAAAAGCACTGGACGGCCGTTTCGTCCTATTATGGGACTCCTCATCAGTGTACATCCACAATCCCTCTCGTGGAATTCGAGGATTCGGGATTCGTGGATTAGTTGAGGTTAGACATGAAAACCGTTGGATACCGGCTCAATGGTTAAAAGGTTAACCGTTCACACGCGAAACTGAAGGTCCTGGGTTCGAATCCCACGGGCAGAATCGTGGATGTACACTGATAAGGAGTCCCACAATAGGACGAAACGGCCGTCCAGTGCCTCCAGGTTTTCAATTGTGATGCTCTAACATCAATCGGTTCATGATCTCAATCAAAAACTTAATAATCTACGTAACCCTATACTGAGAATTTATACTGATCGAATTTCTCTTGTAACAAACTATTGTTGGCTTGCCACCATATTACAATCTTTTATCACTTCTATACAACTAATATTAAAGCATATCCATCTGACATGTACTACAAACTTATCAAATCATTTAAACAAACTTAATTCATTAGATCTAGTTTTGTGTAAAATATCCATCTTCTAAATTCAATCAAATGAAGTTGAATATAACACAATTACATGAATAGGACATTATATTTGAGTCGTTATAGACTGTATTCACACTGATATATTATAAGAAAAGTTTGTGGTGAAAGTGAATAACAATCAAATCATAAAGTCAACTTGAGGAGAGATATATATATATATATATAGGACAACACATGAACAAATTGTTAAAATAAATAGTCTTATTCTATTTCAATCAGATCCATATTGTTGAACACTTCAATGTAAAGACTATTGTAATCTATTAATGATAAGATTGAAAGAATTCAGAATTTTGGTTTATTTCTTCTATACAATTCTACTATAGTTTGTATATTGTTACCACGATTAAGCAAACGAATAAATAGATATGATAGAAAAGTCAGAATGAATACACATATCCAGGCAATATAATAAACTAGAAGACGACAACTAATACTCATATTATCTAGAGCTGGATACATACTGTATTGTAATTTATTGATTTGAACTTCTACACTATAGGATAAATAGAAGATTATAATGAATTCATTATCAGAATGGGTTTTGTGGAGATTTTAGAAATTTCACTGGTTGAAATCATGAGTCAATTGAAGTTAGATTACCATGGAAAACCTGGACATTAACACCGTTGAATGCTGGTTCAGTGGTCTAGTTGGTTAAGCCCCTAGCGTGAGACTGATAGTTTCTGGGTTCGAATCTCGTGGGGGGGGGTGATCGTGGATGCGCACTGCTGAGGAGTCCCATACTAAGACGAAACGGCCATCCAGTACTTCCAGGTTTTCCATGGTAATCTAGCTTCAATTGACTCATGATTTCAACCAATGAATTCATTCATCAACAATATTAAGGTAAGACAAAATATGTAAACTCATTCATATTAAGAAAGTAATGAATAGTGAATTGTATACAATATGTCAGTATAAAAGATCAGATATTATAAATAAGTCTCACGTCACTATCATTCAATATTGTACACTTATAGTTACATTATTATTAACATTTATGAGATAAGTTTTAATTTGCTATCAGTACTGGTGAATGATAATAAGTTGAGATAGGGAAAATCTTTCTATATAACCTCGATGGAGAATAATTATATCTTACACAATTGTTTCAGGTTGATTTAGGACAGAATAGGGTCTGTTTATCTGCTACAAATGGTTCACAAAATTCTCTTAGGGTTTACTCATAAGTCGATGAACCACCATTGAATTCACTTCGATTAGAATATGCATCATAAATTATTGAGAAATCTCTTTATGTAGTTGCATTCTCTCAACTGAATCGAATTCGTTACAAAGCGTTCAAAAATGTTTTGGATCAGATCAACGACCAAAATACTCAAAGTTCAGTCATTCAACTTGGACAATACAATATTATCAGAAAATAATGAAGATAACAGTTGGTTTTGTCAGTGAAACATCACTGATCTGATTAGTTACAAATATGAATATGTTGATATGAAGAAACTTAACTTACAAGATATTGTAAGCGAACAACAGTAGACCGCATATGAAAATTGAAATCAGAAATTTAACTGGTTTCGGTTTCCATAGGAAGGCGTCAATCATAATTACCATTGGTACAATTAAATTCTACAACAATAAAATTGGGAGAAGTATATTTCATTTGTGTAAGATTTATGTGAAACATATTGTCAATTAAGCCTTAATTATTTATTATTCTGAAATGTAATGATCACAATTCTATGCTAATTCGGAATGGTTTAGAGTTAGTTACTCGTTACGAATTGAATTATGTGACAGGTTGTCATGGTTCAGTGTAGCAAAAGTGTCAAAAAAACTAGCTCAAAGGGGGGTTTTGTATTGTGTTTTCGTTCAATTCTATTAGACCATTTCATTAAAATGGAATGTTTGATATTTCGTCGGGAAAGCAATCAATATATTATTATCAGAAGGGGTTTTGTAGAAATTGTAGTAATTTCAGTAGTTGAAATCATGAGTCAATTGAAGCTAGACTACCATGGAAAACCTGTAAGCACTAGACGGTCGTTTCGTCCTGTTGTGGAACTCCTCAGCAATACGCATCCACAACCTCGCCTCACGGGATTCGAACCGGATCATTTGTCAGATAGTAACTCACTGGTGACAATGGTGGATGTGTCGCTCAATTTCGTGGATTAGTTGAAGTGAGACATTAACACTGTTGGATGCTGGCCAGCTCAGTGGTCTAGTGATTAAGCTCACGCGCGAGATTGATAGGTCCTGGATTCGAATCCCACGGGCGGGATCATGGATGCCCACTGCTATGGAGTCCCACAATAGGACGAATTAGCCGTCCAATACTTCCAGGTTTTCCATAGTGATCTAGCTTTAATAGGCTCATGATCTCAACTACTGAATAGATTATTAACATATCCTTTATCAGATATCTGTCTCACGTTGACATCGTTCAATTTCATTGATTACAATATCTCTGTAGAATTTATAGTCAATTCGAAATATATAATCAGAAGATGCTAACTTCTGGCAGGTAATATGAACCAACAATGTTAGGAATCATTTAACAATTGAAGATTCTCTCCAATACTTTATCATAAGTTCAATTTAGTTCATAACAGTAAGTGTCAAGATAGTCCTATCTGTAGAATACAATACTTAAGGAATATTTCATTACTGTGTTACACTGACATAGAGAAAGAATGAATATATACAAACAAACAAACGAAATATACATTCAATGATAACTTACACATATATAATTGAACCATAACGGTAATTTCTTCAATTCCGGATTACAAGTTAAAATGCCCGGATGTAATACCATAACCAATAAATACATCCATAAAGCAACCTAATCCCATTATTCATTATAGATCAATCCAAATATACATGACTTACCCAACTATAAGTTAATACAAGTACATAGAAATAACTATGTATTTTATCCCATTTTAACCATTGAAATAATGTAGCTGTAAAAAAGTATCCAATTGATAAACCCTATATAATAATAATAATAATCAATGTAATAGTTCAATCACTACTTACCAATGTAATCACAGTAAGTGATTTAAATAAACTAACCAATTTCACAAAATCAACATTTTCATTTGGATAAAAATATTGATAACCCATCACTGTAATAATGATTAATGAACTTAGAATTAATAAACGATAAATAATAGTGATGATTAGGGTTAAGGGATATTTTGATAAGATTGTTTTAATCGTCATATTCAGAGAATGATAGGATGATGAATAGGACTTGTATATTAGATGTATTAGATCACGTCTATAATAGTTCTTATTGTATAACTTCTGATTTATTTATATTAGATTATTCCATTGTATACATTAGTAATTGGAGAATAAGTGTATATATTATTTAGTACAGACATATATACCCATCTAACCGATCAAAGTAGATTATATAATTAGTTATAATGACTCAAAATGATAATTAAATAAGTCACTGAAATGATCTTTTGAAAATATGTTAAGAATGTTTATATTAATTAAAGATGAATATCTACCACATGATTGAGATAACTAACTAACTAACTTAGCACTTTGGAAATATTATGAATTGTATTGGTGTTCTCGGTGTTGTATCTGAGACTATTGCTTTATTCTTTGTTGTATGTTGTGGCTTACACTAGTTTGTATGTATAAGATAGAATGGTCAGATCATCTACGAAGTCTAAATATTCTAATTGATTACGTATTGTTCATTGTATTCCGAGATTTCCCTCAGATGTCAAGGTTTTCAGAATCCAGTCAACTACTAGAAGAAAGAGGAAGGGGGTGAGTTGGCAGCCTTGTCTAATTCCAGTTCTTAGTTGGAATGCATCTGTCAGCTATTCACCATGCACTACTTTGCACTATAGTCCGTTGTATGAATTCCGGATAATGTTGACAACGTTCTCAGGTATAATATAGTGTCAAAAAGGATCTCATAAGATCCTCCTATAAACACAATCAAATGCTTTGTCTTAATCGAGGAAGTTGACGAATTCCATTCAATTAATTGCTTGACAATGATCCGTGGTGTCACGATTTGGTTTGTGCATAACTGATCCTTACGGAATCCAGTCTGTTGATCTCGAAGTTGGGCGTCTACTGAGTCTTTCGTTTGGTTCAGCAACACACTATTGGAAACGTTTTTTTAGTACTGACAGTAGTCCCGACCGTAGCTGCTACCTTGACGTGGTGGTCGGGCTTGCCTATAGTGATGACCCAACCGAGCTATATTGGCTGGAACATTTGTTCCTGTAGGTTCTACCATGCCAAGCAGGTCGATAGGAGAACGGTAAGACTAAAAGCAGCAACTCAAGGTCTGAGGGCGAAGTTGTACTGTCGATTGTAAAGGGGTGTGGCAGCAGTAAGGTGTTTCTCTCGAACAACCAGCATCTGCAGCGATGCTGCTTTCTCACAAGCAAGGTTGGGGTTAGAAAAGGTCGACCCTAAAAACGTCACGCCTCACCTTACCTCACCGATTTCCATCCGCAGCGGTAAGGATAATACGTCAAAAACCTCCCACGAAAAAACCGTGCGCGACCGGCCTCAGGCAGTTGTCCCTCGGGCTCTACGGTCACGATCCCAGGTCGATAAGGTCAACAGTAATCCAACTTCCTTTTCAGGTTCCTCAAGAAATACCCTTCCACGGTGTGGGCAGCCGGGAAGTGACATCAGCCCTCATACCCGTAACAGCACACGACACCAAGTTGGTCACATTCAAATCCATCCTACACCTCCTAATACCTCTCTTATCTCCCCGACTAGCCCTTCTCACGTCCCTTCATCACCTCGCAGCACTAGGCCAAACGATTCTAGTACGCGGAATGTTATTCCCGGTCTCCTGAAACCACGCTCTAAACTACACGTAGGAGCTTTCAACGTCCAAACACTGTGTCAAATAGGACAACAAGCTTCCTTAGATAGGACTTTAGAATCTCGCACCATCAATGTGTGCTGCGTCTCCGAAACGCACATACAGGATCTGAGTAGTATCATTCATCTGACCTCATCAAATCAAAATAAAGAACCGACTCGATTCACGCTTCGTGTATCTGAAGGCCCTGATGCTACTTCCCGTGGTCTCGCTGGCGTAGGTATAGCATTGAGTCGCAGGGCAGAACTAGCTCTCTTAGACTGGATCCCAGTTGACAGTCGTTTGTGCGCTGTCCGACTTAACGGAACAGTAAGCACTTGGAAAGATAGGGACACTGGTCGTTGCTCCTTCGTCGTCTCTGCCTATTCTCCCACTGACTACAGCTCAGATGATGCAAAAGATGAGTTTTACAGAGATCTTCCCTGACGTTCTCCGAAAAGCTGAGCGCTCTGATGTAGTAATAGTGGCTGGTGACTTTAATGCTCAAGTAGGTAAACTAAGGGAAAGGGGAAGATACCGGGGTGGATCATATGGTGTCGTGTCTCAAAGAACAGATAATGGCAACCGTCTGTTGCAGCTATGCTCAGATAACTACCCGTTTCTAGCAAATACTAACTTTAAGCATAAGGAAAATCATCTTTTGACATGGCGATCCTCGAATTCGTCCCAACGTTGGACCCAAATCGATTACATCGTTCGCCATCAGCCACCGATGGAGAGGCTCGATAGAAGGCGGCCTGCTTGAGCATCTGGACTACCTGTTCCTACCATCTAGATATTTCCAAAAGTTATCTGTCTTTGTTTGTTTTAATATATCATTATGTCTATTAATCGCACAACCTATTCTGCTGCGTTTCTGAAAAGTGTACAACCTTTCGTTGTCAAAGTTACAAAAAGCTCAAAAAGAGAGAATATTGTTGCTGGCAATATACAACGAAAAGAATGTACATTATTCAGATATTCATTTACTGGACTGTTAACGTCTAGCTGGCGATCACTCAGTATTTATCGCGAGGACCGACCAAGAAGAAAGAAACGGGAACTTGTTGAAATACTTTGTGCTGAGAATTCTATATTGTACCAATAATATAATATTGAATAAAGCTAATAATAATAATAATAAGACTGTCGCCCATTCTCGATCACATGCTTAGACTCAGATCATGCTCTAGTGTGAGCGCGTAGTTGTCTGTGTCTTACTGGACGTAGGAAAGACGCTGCAAGGGAACCTCTTAGGGTCCTACTTAATGATAGTCAAGCTAAGAGTATATTTCAGGACCAACTAGAAGAACAGTTAGGCAGCCATGTATGTGATGCCCATCCCGAGGCAACGTGAAATGATATCCGAAATGCTGTGGAAACAGCAGTGATATCTGTTAGCATGGTAAACCATAAGGTTAGAGAGAAACACTGGATCTCATCAACATCTACCGCAGTGAGAGATGCATGAAAACTCATTCCATCTGGCACTGAACATAACAAAGAGCGGAGTCAGCTAAAGAGCAAGTTGACAATGATGATGTCACGGGTATTCAGTGTTTGACAACGCTTCTACCAGTAACACCTTCTAATATATTTCGTTCCCACCCAGAGAAATCAAAAGACAGAGTCGAGGAGATCGGAATAGTATATTTGGCGATGACCAATATATCGGAATTCTCTGATCTAATCTGGCTAGCGATTGCGGTTGATGTTGAGCACGGCGTTACCACACGTGATCTGGTGCGGATGCAAGACCGAGCGCCTTCAGCTAGATGAGTCCACTAAAACATATGGTCAGCATCCAATGTCGAAAACTTAGGGCTATTTATTTTGGGGATTTATTTACCGCTACAGATCACTCCCCCCCCCCTAGTGGGGCAGTGACGACCCTAAGACGTGGCCAGCCAGAAGTTTAAACCCAACGAGTTTGTCGTTGGTAAACACTCTTCTGATAGCTTACTAAATTTAGCAGCGTCTGGTCGTCTTTCCTTACTATATGGGACCGAGGTACAACATAGTAAAAAAAGAAAATGTACAATGAAAATTTCGGATCCTCATAAACGTCATCGTTCTTTTTCCAGCCGTCCTGGAAAAGAAAAAAGAAAATGTAAGTGTATGTCGAAAATACACTCGTATGTGCGTAAAAACACAATGTCGGCGGAAAAAAAAGGAAAAAAAACTCATGAACACGTAATAGCGTTAAAAAAAATTTTTTTTTGTTTTTTTTTTTAAATAGAAATAAAAATATATAAGCATATTAAAATTTGTTTTTAAAAAAAATAATATAAAATGTCGAGAAGTGCCTTACGTGCAATAGTCGTTTAAATGTTCTGGAAATCTTACTCTTCTTCCAGAACGCGTCGTTTTAGGTTTATTTTCAGATACATGCGGAGTATCATCTCTAGTATTGGTTGTCGGTTGAGGAATTACGAGTGGAGTCGTGTCGTTCGATTGTAACGAAGGAAAATCGACGTAGATAGGATTTCCTTCTAAGTACGCTGCTTTGAGGCGATCGATGCTGATGCTATCGTTGGTTCCGTTCTTATCGACTATATAGTACTTCGGTTCGCGTTGAAGAACTTTGAAGGGTCCTTCGTATGCTGATTCGAATGGTCGTCGATGCGAGTCTCGACGAACGAAAACGTGTGTACTATATCGTAAGTCAGGTTGAACGAAAACATCAGTTGATTGAGGTCGAGTGGAAGCAGGTTTAACTGAACGCATTGCGTTTGTAAGCCTGTTCGTGTAGGAGGTTAGATCCATGTTCATTGAAAAGGACGAAGGATCCACGAATTCTCCTGGAAGTCGAAGTGTCGTACCATAAACGAGTTGAGCCGCAGTGTATCCAATGTCAGCTTTCACTGCATTGCGGATACCTAGTAAGACAAGTGGAAGAGCGTCGGTCCACTGTGAAACGTTTGCAGCTGATAGCGAAGCTTTCAGTTGTCGGTGAAAACGTTCTACCAACCCGTTTGCTTGGGGATGGTAGGCGGTCGTTCGGAAGCGAGTGATTCCTAAAAGTGTGGTCAGACGACGGAAAAGATCAGATTCAAACTGACGTCCGCGGTCTGTAGTGATGGTTGAAGGGCAACCGAAGTTTGCTACCCATCGTTCGACGAAGGTGCGGGCCACTGTTTCAGCAGTGATGTCCTTAATAGGTACTGCTTCTGGCCATCGAGTGAAACGGTCTACGCAGGTTAAAAGATAAGAGTATCCATTTGAATCTGGTAAACGTCCTACCAAATCCAGATGAACATGGTCG